GCAAAAGGAAAAATGTTAGCCATGTTCATTCCAATTATTTTTTTTTTTTTTTTTTTTTTTTTTTTTTTTTTGGTTTTTCGAGACAGGGTTTCTCTGTGTAGCTTTGCGCCTTTCCTGGAACTCACTTGGTAGCCCAGGCTGGCCTCGAACTCACAGAGATCCGCCTGGCTCTGCCTCCCGAGTGCTGGGATTAAAGGTGTGCGCCACCACCGCCCGGCGCTCCAATTATTTTTCTAACAGTGGCCTAACAGGTCAGAAATTCATGTCAAGCTGGGTGGTATTTGGTATTAGCCAAGTGGCCAAGACATGAGTAAGTTCTCGATTGCTACTTAAGCTACTTAAAATATGGTAGAGAGCATCAGTGTCTCCTGTTGCCACTGATGATTGATACTGGAAGAGTTGCTAAATTCCATTCTTTGGATCTATACAATCTGTTAGTCGGGTTGATCTCAACCTCCCACCCTCACATTTGCTGCTTGCATGCCTTGGGTCTTGGAGGAAGCAGGCAGAGGAAACAGCTAGACATGCTCTAAGTTGATTTTGTAAAGTTTTTTCTCAAAGTTGTTTTCAAGTTAGATTGAAAACACTTCTGAAAACTTTATTTTTTAAGCATAATTGGGTAAAGACTGAAAAAACAAACAAACAAATAAACAAAACAAAACAAAAAAAAGGTGAAATTGGCCCAGGTTTGCTCACTGATCATCAGTCTCCAAGCCTGTATCCTTGCCTAGCAGGTACAGAACCCTGGATTTAATGCCCAGCATGGAGGAGAACACCAACAACAAAGCTAGTGTAGAAAACAACTGGTGGACTGGGGAAGTAACATTGGTTGGTAGAGTGCCTGCCTAGCACTGGGAAGATGGACCAGGGTCAAGTCATCTTCAGGTGCATAGTCAGTTCAGGGATGTCCTGGCTTACATGAGACCTGTCTTATCTTAAAAACAAAAGCCAATGTGGCTAAGGGTCACAAAATATTAAATGGAGGGGGTAATAGATATATATGTGTTATATACACATATAATATATGCATACATTTGTGTATATATTTTTAATCTTAACATATAATTATTGTCCCCCAAATTAGTGTATGTATGTCTATATATGCATGTATGAAATCTTTTTCATGGAAATTTTACATTTTTTTATGTTATTCAAATGGAGTTTATATATACTTTCTACATGTGTCTTTTTTCACAGTATATATAAAATAGTTCTCAATCATGTTTGTAAAGTATTCCTATCTTAATTATACTCATTCTTACTTTATTTGCTCTCTTGGAGCAAAACCTGTAATTGTGCTCTAGGATAGGAGTATCTACTAGTAGAAAGACATCTCGTCTCCTTTTTTGAATTCAATATTTATGTTTTCTTCTGGAGGGTTTTTCTTTGAGACAGAGGCTTGTTAATTATTGCTCAGGCTGGCCTTGAACTTGTTTTGTATCCTAGATAGGCTTCCAGAGTGTCTGGGATTATAAACCTGTGCTATAAGGCCTGGCTTCACCCAGGGGTTGGTTGGTTTGTTTGTTTTTGTTGTTGTTGCTTCCAGACAGGGTCTCTCTGTATGGCCCTGGCTATCCTGAAACTCACTCTGTAGACCAGGCTGGCCTTGAACTCAGACATTCACCTGCCTCTGCCTCTTGAGTGCTGGGACTAAAGGCATACACCAGCACCGCCCAGCTCTGCTCAGAGTTTTTATTGGACCTGAAAAGAAGAGTCTAGTACTTGAGTGAAAGAGGAAATGTGTTACATACAAAAGGCAAAGGCTTTGAAAGAGAAGCAACTACAGAGTGCAGTGAAGGGAAACTTGTCTCTCTCGGTGTGAAAATGTCCTCATGCTGTCTGTGAGATGACTTAGCTATAAAGCACAGTGCTGGCTCCATGGGCCTGGGGACTCCAGTTTGACCTCTGAAACCCATGTAAAGGTAGAAGAAGTCTGCACAGAGTTATTCTCTGACCACCACCACCACTGTACTGTGTTGTATGTGTGCACACATGTGCACATGCACGCGCACACACATGTAATAATAAATGAAAAAAGAAAAAAGTTTTTTCAAGACAAGGTTTCTCTGTGTAAAAGCCCCTGGTTGTCCTGGAACTTGCTCTGTAGACCAGTCTGGCCTCGAACTCAGAACTCAGAGATCTTCCTGCCTTGCTTCCCGAGTGCTGGGATTAAAGGTTTGTGCCATTACACCTGCCTACTTGCTGCTGTAGAGGACCCAGGTTTAGTTCCTGTGGTGGCTCACAGCTATCCATAACTCCAGTTCCAAGGGATTCAACACCTCACTCTGACTTCCTCCTGCATGTGCTCGACATACATGCATTTCAGGCTAAATGCCCATTCACATGAAATAATAAATTTAACAAAATGTGCAGAGAGCAGTATAACTAATAGTTGTCTGCATATTGTTGGTGTTCAAGGAATCAATATTTTATTTTACTTGCTTCTACTTTAAAAACTTTTTTAAAAAAGCATTTGTGTTTTTAACATGTTCTGTCGTGCACCTGTGAAAGTAAGACAGAGTCTCTCCCTTTACCATGTGGGTTCTGGTGATGGAACTCCAGCTGCCATGCTGGGCCACAGCTGCTGCTGGCTGTTGAACCATCTTGCCAGTTCCTCAGTTTTGAAGAAACAGTGTTATAGATGGTACTCCTTCCTTCCTGAGATGTAATTGTTCTCCCCAAGTAGATGCTTTTTAAATTGAATGAGTATTATAAACCATAAGTATTTTGTTTGTAGTATATGACAGTACAATGAAATGTCAGCAGAAGCCGGGTGGTGGCAGTGCATGCCTTTAATCCCAGCACTCGGGAGGCAGAGGCAGGCAGATCTCTGTGAGTTCGAGGCCAGCCTGGTCTTCAGAATGAGTTCCAGGAAAGGTGCAAAGCTACACAGAGAAACCCTGTCTTGAAAAACCAAAAAGAAAAAAAAAGAAATGTCAGCCAAGTTGTATCTGTTCTGAAATATGTACCTGTAGCTTACTGTACCTCCTGTACAGTTCCTTATTATATGAACATAACACAGGATAGTAACTGGAATTGACGTTTTTTTAACTTTTCTTACTGTGGTGCTGCGGTAAATGCCTTTTGAATGTCAGTATGTGAGTTTTTCCAGGATAGTCACTTAATTGCTAAAGAGTAACAGGGAGGACATTTTATTCATCAAGTGTTTTATTGGAATTAACTATCAGTGAGGGAAGAAAACACAGTTATGTCTATTGTTGGGAAAAAAAGAAAACTATGAGTGTTTGAGAAGATAAATGTTAGCTGGGCCTGGTGGCACACACCTTGCACTTGGGGAGGCAGAGGCAGGTGGATCTCTGTGAGTTTGAGGCTGGCCTAGTCTACACAGAGAGAGAGTTCTAGGACAGCCAGGGCTACACACAGAAACCTTGGTTCGGGGATGGGGTGGGGATAAATATTAAAGAAAAAAACCTAAAACTTGAAGTCTAATCTTTTATTAATTATTTAGGAATGGAGAAAGTCTTTAAAAAGTTGGAGCAAACTTTCCAGAACAAATAATTGCCACATAAAGATGGATGTGATCAATAATCTCTTTCAGACACACACCCACACCCACACTCGGGGCGGGGTGGGGGTGGGGGTGGGGGGTGGGGGGTGGTGAGTGATTTGGGGTGGGGAGAGGGAGAGGGAGATGAGAAAGGGCTCTCAACTTCCAGACAACCTGCCAAACCCACCTGCTTACCCTGCCCTCTTCTAGCCTCACCTCTGCTCCTCCCTCCATCTCCTTCAACCTCCTGACTTTGTCAAGTTTACTTTGTCTTGGGCTTGAGTGATTACTTTTATGTAGACTAGGGCTGTTTTAGAAACTAGGACATGGGACATTCTACCTTAGACTGGCTAGACTGCCCATCCTGTTCACCTATTTATTATCTTATTTATAACACTTTATTATAAGTATTGTAGTATTTTCTACTCTCCACTGACTGTCTCTTATTGTCTTGTGTCCTCTCAAGTAAGGTAGTATGCCTTGTCATTCTGTGTCACTGGTTTAGAACAATATAGGTATACAGAGGTGTGTAGAAAATACAGCATTTTGGCTGAGTGGTGATGGTGCACGCCTTTAATCCCAGCACTTGGGAGGCAGAGGCAGGTGGATCTCGGTGAGTTCAAGGCCAGCCTGGTCTACAGAGCGAGTTCCAGAACAACCAGGACTGTTACACAGAGAACCCCTGTCTTGAAAAAACAAAAAACAAAACAAAACAAAAAAATACAGCATTTTATCTTTACTCTTAATTTTATTATGGCAACTTGAAATGTTAAATAGAAATAGTATACACAGATCATGCATGAAAGTGTGAATGTATTTAATGCTATTGAACAGTTTACTTAAAAATGGTTAAAATAGTAACTTTTCTGTGTCATATGTTTTACCATGATTAGGAAACAACAATAACCCCCCTCATACTCTTGTCATTGTGTCATCAGTTGATAGAATGACATTTGGGTTGTTGCCAAGGTTATAATAAAAATCTACTTAGCCTGGATTAAGTGAAGGAGAACTTTATTAATAAGGACAAGGAAAGTCACATGCTGCTCATGGACACTGACCCTGGAAAGAAAAGGCAAAAGTCAAAGCTGTTTCTGCACTGTCTCAGGGGATGGCTGCAGTGCCTTTGTATATCCACTGTAGTCTGTGTAGAGGAAATGATGCATTGTTTATCAAGCTTTAATAACTTATTTTTTTTTTTTTTTTTTTGGTTTTTCGAGACAGGGTCTGTTTGTGTAGCTTTTGCGCCTTTCCTGAAACTCACTCAGTAGCCCAGGCTGGCCTCGAACTCACAAAGATTCACCTGGCTCTGCCTCCCGAGTGCTGGGATTAAAGGCGTGCGCTGCCGCCGCCGCCGCCGCCGCCACCCGGCAATAACTTCTTTTTAAGTAAATATATGAGGGGTTTTGACTGGCAATTGTGGCTTTGTATGTATAGCTATAGTTATCATTTATCAGAAGGACATTTCATTCTCTTTTCCCATCTTGTATAGGTTGTTTCCTAGAAACATGGTTGTTTGTTGGACTTGATCTCACAGCCCAGTGAGGACATCTTTACTGATAATGTCAAATTCAGGCTACCCTCCCAACCAAGGAGCTTTCAGCACAGAGCAAAGTCGTTATCCTTCACATTCTGTCCAGTATACTTTTCCCAGCACCAGACACCAGCAGGTAAGTCATATTAGCTCAAGATACTTATGTACTTTGTGGTTTCACCTTTCCTATGCAATAGATTTATTGGCTAGTAATGGAATGTACTTGTTATTTCATTCATTCATTCATTCATTCATTCATTCATTCATTTTGTTTTTTTGAACACAGGGTTTCTCCGTGTAGTTTTGGTGCCTGTCCTGGAGCTCACTCTGTAGACCAGGCTGGCCTGGAACTCACAGAGATCCGCCTGGCTCTGCCTCCCGAGTGCTGGGAATTAAAGGTGTGCCTCACCACCGCCCGGCTATTATGATTTGTCTCTTTCTTTCTTTCTTTCTTTCTTTCTTTCTTTCTTTCTTTCTTTCTTTCTTTCTTCTCTCTCTCTCTCTCTCTCTCTCTCTCTCTCTCTCTCTCTCTCTCTCTCTCGTTTTTCGAGACAGGGTTTCTCTGTGTAGCCCTGGTTGTCTAATGGCAAGAATCATGCAGGAATCATTCACAGCCAGGTGTGCTGGAACATGCCTATGTTTCCAGCACTTGAGGATCAGAGGCTGGAGGATGGGAGTTTAATACCATCCTTGGCTATATAGCAAATTTGAAGCCCGCCACAGTTAAATGAGGCATCATCTAAAAAACTATACATACATACACACATAAGTGCATACTTTATATATATACATATGTCTTCAAAAATTATATGTTTAACATACACACACACACACACACACACACACACACACACCCCTTCAGTCATCTACAAGGAGCCAAAGTTTGAGAATTAATTATCTGTCTTTTTTTTGTTATTGTTGTTTTGTTTTGTTTTTCTGTGTTGCTCTGGCTGTCTTGGAACTTACTCTGTAGACCAGGCTGGCCTTGAACTCAGAGATCTTCCTGCTTCTGCCTCACTGCTAGAATTAAAGGTGTGTGTCACCACCTCCCACTTAATTATCGGTCTTCTTATTGTGGTTTTCTGCTAGATTTCAGAGATTGAACATCCCTCTTATTTTTTTACATTTATTTATTTTGTATGTGCACATGCTCTAGCATATGCATCCAGGTCAGAGGACTGGAGGCGGTTATGTCTTGCTACCGTGTGGGTTCCAGGGATTGATCTCGGGCTGTTAGGCTTGGCTCTAAGTACCTTCATCTGCTGAGCCATCTCACTAGCCCTGTTGCTCTGATTTTGATTGTAGGAATTCACAGAAAAGAGTAAATTGTTGACAGTCTCTAGGATAACAGCTTATTTACATTTCATGCTCTGGTTTAAGCTGGCTAGATAATTTGGTCCCTCCTTAGTTTTAGAATAGATACCTCTACCTCAATGAGAGATTTGATGGTAGGAAGGTGAGGAAGTTTCTGTAACTTAACCTTTTGAAAATGAAATATGAGGTGACGCTCCCAGCTTATTGGACAAAAGCTAGCAATGTAAGAGATTTAAAGAAAAGTACGAAAGGAATGTTGGGTGTGGTGGCATCTGCCTGTAACCCTGGAACTCAGTAAATGGAAGCAGTTGTATTCCAGGTTCAAGGACAGTATGGACTACATAGCCAGACTCTATCTCAAAAACAAACAAAACAAGGAAAGGAAGAAATGTATCTGAATTAGGATTTCTTTGCTAATATAAAGCACCATGACCATAAGCAACGTGAGGAAGAAAGAGTTTATTTCATCTTAACAACTCTCAGGTCATACTCCATCACTGAGGGAAGTGAGGACAGAAACCTGGAGGCAGGAACTGAAGCAGAAGCCATGGAGGAGTGCTGCTTATGGGCTTGCTCCTCATGGTTTGCTTAGCCTGCTTCTTTATACACCCCAGGGCTACCTGCCCAGGGGTGACACTGCCCACAGTGCTGAGCCCTTCCACATCAATCATCAGTTAAGACAATGCCCCATAGGCCAGTTTGGTGGGGCATTTTCTCAACTGAGGTTCCTTCTTCCCAGTGATTCTAGCTTGTGTCAAGTTGACATAAAATTAGACACAAAGCCGGGCGGTGGTGGCGCACGCCTTTAATCCCAGCACTCGGGAGGCAGAGGCAGGCGGATCTCTGTAAGTTCGAGGCCAGCCTGGGCTACCAAGTGAGTTCCAGGAAAGGCGCAAAGCTACACAGAGAAACCCTGTCTCGAAAAACCAAAAAAAAAAAAAAAAAAAAAAAAAAAAAGACACAAAATGAAATGGTCATCTTGGAGAATAACAAAGCACATTTATCAATCATATATAGTTGAGTATTACTGAGGACTCCTTTGAAATATGGTTCTGATTTGGAATGAGAATGGATATCCTTATATGTCTCTGCAGAAAAACTTGGATTTTTTTGTTGATGCTCTTGTTTGGCTGAAGTTGCTTTCTGTTCCTAGGTTGACAATTTTTATCATGATTGGGTGTCAAGTTTTATTTATTCTTGCTCCAGTGCTATGCATGTGATTGCTGATTTTCTGGATCATTGTGTTACTGTTTTGTTTGTTTATATTACCGTGTGTGTCTCTGTGTGCTTATGGAAGTCAGAGGATGGCTTGGAAGGGGTAGGTTCCCCTAATTGTTCTTTGATCAGAAACAGTATTAACCCAGCCTTATGACTTTTCACTCTCTGCAAAGACTTAAGGGAACCAAATCCATGTTTAAGAATCTTTTTGTATGTAATTCTCTCCTCTGTAGAAGTCTTTAGAAATTCTGACTTCTCTAAACCTCTTATCACTGTGTCTTCAATAACCATGATTGTGGAGCCCTGTTTGAATACCCAGGGCTGTAGACTTTAAAATTGATTCTAGGCAGAAAGGTTACAAACAATTTTCTCTCAGAGGTCACATCTTATACAGCCTGTTGCTCTCTATCTGAAAATAGTTTCTATGAGTTTTCCATTTGCCTGCCTGCCTGCCTGCCTGTCTGTCTATTTATTTGAAGCAGGATCTAACTGTGTAGCTTTAAATTCCTTATGTAGCCCAAGTTGAGTGCTGGGATTCTAGATCTATGCACTTGTGTCCAGCTGGATTCTACCATTTGATTTTTCTGAAGTTACCCCCACCCACAACCCCCATGAGACAGTCTAGACCGTGGTACATGATCGAAACTGGAGGCTGCTATGTACTGTTGCGTCATCTTTTTTCCTCCCACTCATTTTTGAATAATTTAAAACCCCCAAATCTTTAAGAGAGCGTCAGTGGCTGATATGTTTTCAGAGTTCTGAAATTGTGAAAACTTGATTGTTCTTGAGTGAATGATGCTCTCGCTACAGAACTTACAAAGTCAAAGCTTTTCTTGGAACCTGCTCTGTGCTGTTGCCTGTCTGCTTCTGTTCATTTCTGCTGATAAGCCAGTGCTCTTCTTATGATCCTTGTTTTAGGAAGCCTGTGGTTTGTGTTTTGGAACATGTAGTAAATCATTATCCTTGGTTTCCTACATTAAAAAATTAAATTTGCATTATTTATTTTTATGTGTATGTATGTGTGCTACACTACATATGTGGAGGTCAGACAGCCTGCTGGAGTTGATCCTCTCCTTCCCCGTATGGGTTCCAGGGATTGAACACAGGTTTTTACGGCTGCAGGCAGGACCTCCACCTGCCGAGCCGTCTTCCAGCCCTCTAACGTTTTTAATGTATCGACTGTGGACTAATTTTAAACTACCTTAGCTTTTCTCCTTGGTTCTTTTAACCTAAAGGACTGTCATTTCTAACTTCAGAGAAATGATGTGTTATTTCTTAGGATATTGCCTGTTACCTGTCGTGGTGGGTGTGTTTTTCGTACCTATGTTATGATTCTCTGAATGACTTCTTCCAGTTGTCCTCTGACCTCCACTTATATGCCATGGCATGTGTACAACCTATTCCTACTTCCACAATAAATTAAATAAATGTAAAAAAATGTAAGTAAGGAATTGGAATGATGACTCAATGGTTAGAGTACGTGCTGCTCTTTCAAGGACTGGAGTTGGGTTTTCAACACCCACATCTATAATTCCAGCTCCAGAGGTTCCATCCAACACCTTCTTCTGGGCTCTGAGGTTATCCACCTGCGTGTGTGCATACATAAAACAGGCACTCACATATACATAAAGGGGAAAAAAATCTTACTAGAAATAATTAAAATATTGGTGAAAAATTGGCTCATTAAAGGATTAAACTTGTCATTGCTATTTGTTTTCATACTTATTGGTTCCTCCTAATTACTTGATTTAACTTCATGATGGAGTTCTTATTTGTAGTTAACAGTTAACTTACAATTATTTTACTACCAGGAATTTGCAGTCCCTGACTATCGCTCTCCTCATATTGAAGTTAGTCAGGCATCACAGCTTTTGCAGCAGCAGCAGCAACAGCAGCAGCAGCAGCAGCAGCAGCAGCTTCGAAGACGACCTTCCTTGCTTTCAGAATTTCACCCAGGTTCTGACAGGTAATGGGATTTCTTTTATGTTCCTACTTAGGGCTAATTGAATTACATTATTTATTATTTTTAATTTTTTACTAACAAAGCTTCAACTGGTCTTTTTTGGTTTTTTTTTTTTTTTCCCGAGACAGGGTTTCTCTGTGTAGCTTGGCGCCTCTCCTGGAACTCACTTGGTAGCCCAGGCTGGCCTCGAACTCACAGAGATCCGCCTGGCTCTGCCTCCCGAGTGCTGGGATTAAAGGCGTGCGCCACCACCACCCGGCTTTTTTGGTTTTTTGAGACAGGGTTTCTTTGTATAGTTTTGGTGCCTGTGCTGGATCTTGTTTCTGTAGACCAGGCTGGCCTTGAACTCACAGAGATCCGCCTGGCTTCAACTGGTCTTTTACACAGTTTGTGTTTTGAGTTCTTGTATTGATTTTCCTTGAACTCCAGAGCCTCGTTTTCAGTCTCCCATGTGTTGGTTGATTGCAACACCTGTCTCAGATCTCTGTTTTTTTTTGTTTTTTTTTTTTGTTGTTGTTGTTTCATTAAAAAAAATTATATGAGGCCGGGTGGTGGTAGCACACGCCTTTAACCCCAGCACTCGGGAGGCAGAGCCAGGTGGATCTCTGTGAGTTCTAGGCCAGCCTGGTCTACAGCGTGAGATACAGGGTAGGCACCAAAACTACACAGAGAAACCCTGTCTCGAAAATTAAAAAAAAAAAAAAAGAAAAGAAAAAAGAAAAAAGAAAAATTATATGATTACATTTTTTGTTTGTTTGTTTTTTCGAGACAGGGTTTCTCTGTGTAGCTTTGCGCCTTTCCTGGAACTCACTTGGTAGCCCAGGCTGGCCTCGAACTCACAGAGATCCGCCTGCCTCTGCCTCCCGAGTGCTGGGATTAAAGGCGTGCGCCACCACTGCCCGGCTATATGATTACATTTTTAATGAAAATTTACTTGCTTTACTTCATTATGTATATGGGAGTATGCCATGTGTAATGGTTCATATGTGTAAGTCAGATGACAGCTTGTTGGCAGGTATCAGTTTTTTACTTCTACCTTATGGATCTTGGTGATGAAACTAAAGTTTTCAGGCTTAGTGGCAGTCATCTTTATCTGTTGAGCCATATCTCTAGTTTTGTTTTTTGTTTGTTTTGAAACAGGGTCTTCCTTGTAGTCTTGGAACTCACTCTGTAGACCAGGCTGGCCTCAATCTCACAGAGATCCGCCTGCCCCTGTCTCCTGAGTGCCACTATGCCTGGCCCATTAGTGAAGTTGATTCTTTCATGATTTCATCCTTGTATACTGTACTCTGGTTACCCCTCCTCTTTCCTAGTCTCTCCCGGTTCTGCTAGCCCCTTCTTCCTGCGGGTCACTTTCCCCACTTACTAGTCTGACTCGGTTTTGTGTTTTAGAATTTTACTAATGCCATCTGTGTGATTGACCTCCAGGGCCTACGGGCTCACCAGTGGGTGTGCAGCTAGACACTCTGCCTCTCCAGAATCTCCAGGGCCTACGGGCTCACCAGGGGGTGTGCAGCTAGACACTATGCCTCTCCAGAATCTCTCGGTTGCCTTTAGAGCAGCAGTATATTGTAGGCCAGCATGAGTCCTTTCCCTTCTGTACCTGACTGTTAGGAGGACCTGTCTTCTGTGGACCCAGTGCCAGTGTACACTGTTGCCATGAGTTTGTGGTTGCTGTGACCTTGCCATACTTGGGAGATGGTATTTTTTTTTTTTTTTTTTTTTTTTTTTTTTGGTTTTTCGAGACAGGGTTTCTCTGTGTAGCTTTGCACCTTTCCTGGAACTCGCTTTGTAGACCAGGCTGGCCTCGAACTCACAGAGATCCGCCTGCCTCTCTGCCTCTCGAGTTCTGGGATTAAAGGTGTGGGCCACCCCCACCCGGCGGGAGATGGTATTTTACCGCCCCTTCCCTCATCCTCTGGCAATTGCATTATTTCCATCTTCCCTTCTCCGGTGTTCTCCAAACTTTAAGGGGGTGATATAAATGTCTTGTCTTTATTCTCACGTCTTGTGCAGCCTTGGGCCTTTGTGTTTGTCTTCATTTGCTGCAGGAAGAAGACTCTCTTTAAGTATTTGTCTGTGGGTATAAGCATAGCTATTTAGGAGATGTTTTCAGCTAAGTGGCCACTTTATGTTCTGCTGATGGGTCTAAGACCTCTTCAGTCATGGCTTTGAACCAGACTTATAGTGTTAGGTATGAAATTCCTCTTGTAGAGCAAGTCCCAAATTCAGTTAGGGAGCCGTTTGTTGGTTATGGGGCCAGGTTTAGAGTTCAGGGTCTGGGGATGAAGGGTTGAGGGGAGTTAGGAGATTAGAGGATGAACAGAGTGGCTGACAAATGATACATGGTTTATTATAGGCAAGAGCATGCACCCTTGGTCCCAAGGACATTTCATAGAGAATCACACAAAAGTGGCTTCTTTCCAGAACTGGTTACGTAATGAGTTGTATAATAGTCACCTTTATTGTTCACTGATGGTTGTTTGAACATACTGTAGTGGTGTCTGTTTGAACTAAGTCATTCCTGATTTCCACACTAGTGCCATGTTACCTAAACTTCTGTCTGGCTCTTATGACCTCTGTTCCCTTAGTTGTTATCCCTGTAATATCCTGCTACCATCTCACCAGTTAGCACATCTTGCCTGATAGGTTGATACAGTGTATAGATGTAGAAGCTGGATTAGATTATCAGTGTCTTTACCTTACAGCTCACCTGCATTGCACCATCTGGTACCGTGAGATCCAGCCAGCAGAGACAAGTCTTCCAGTCCAGTTTGAACTTGATTTCTCTACACCTTGTAGCCAAGGTTTAGTATAGCTACAGCAGTAGGGTCATACCAGCTAGTTTTGGTGGGTGGTCAAGAGAAATGGCAAGAGCTTGCATTGTTTTGGTGGCCTCTGGAGCCTCTGGCCATCTCCTACAAAGGCATCCCATATTTGGCACTGGAGTTTTTGTTTAGTGACCTGTTGCTTCTTGGACCTGCATAGTCTAGTCTTAGAGCTACTGCCTTCAGACTTTGCTTTGTTTTTTATGATAGGTTACCTTGTGTTTTTCTCATACCCTCTTTATTTTGTCTGACCTTTGCCCTCCATCCCAAGTCCCTTGCCGCCTCCTTTATCTGCTCCTCTCTTTGTTGACATTCTCCACTTTCAGCAGCATCTCTCTCCCATTGAAACTATATGGTGCTGTCTTGCTTGCCTTCCAGTGACTTCCACACCATTGTTCCCATTCCGGTTTCTTACGTACTCCAGATAAACACACAAAACAAAAGACTCGGGCCAGGATCCATATATAAGAGAAAAACATGTGATGTTTGCCTTTCTCAGTCCCAGTTACCTCACTTGATATAATTTCCAGTTATATCCATTTTCCTGCGAGTTTTATACTTTGATTTTTTTCCATAGTTGCATAAATTTTCGTTATCTACTCATCAAACAATAGACATTTGGGCTGACTCTGTTTTCCAGCTATTGTGAATAGAGCTTCAATGAACATGGATGTGGAAGTGTCTCTATTATAGGATATAGATTCCCTAGGGCTTTTGCTCAGGAGTGGTATGGCTAGGTCATGTGGTAGGTCCATATCTATTTTGTTGAGGAATCTCCAGACTGATCCAAAGTGGCTGTACAAGTGACTCCCACCAGCGCATAGAGTGTTCTTTAAAATTATATATATTGGGTGATAAAACTATTTTATTTAGAGGCTTGAGGTCTGAGGAGGTCAGTGGAATCTAATGTCCTCAGTAGGCTAGATCTCCCTGGTCTTTTTATCCCTAAACACTCCATTTTCACTCTTAAAAGTTGTTGGTTTAAAAGTAAATTTTATTAGGGGCTTGGAATATCTCTCTTGATATCCACCACTTGCCAGACAAGCTTGAGGCCTTCAGTTCCATCTCCAGTACAGGGGAAAAAAAAAGTCATTGTATATTTAAGTATGTAGAAGATGTTACAGAAGGATGTATGTGGATAACACAAAGGACGCTGTACTAGAACAAATTAGCATACCCATTGTTCCCTTTTGTGGTGGCAAGAAGCTGTTCTTTTACCATTTAGTGAGAATCCCAAATGCAGGGGCTGGAGAGATGGCTCAGAGGTTAAGAACACTTGTTGCTCTTGTAGAGAACCCTGTTTCATTTCCTAGCACCCATATAGTGGCTCACAACCTCGAATAATTCCAGTTCCAGGTATGCCAATCCCGTCTTGTAACCTCCATGAGTACCAGGCATACAGTGGCGCTCATGCAGGCGAAACACTCATACACATTAAATGAAATAAATAAATCTTTTTTTTTTTTTTTTTTTTTTTGCTATTTTCAAGACAGAGTCTCACTATGTAGCTCTGACTGTCTTGGAAATCACTGTGTGGATCAGGCTGGCCTTGAACTCACAGAGTTCTGCCTAACTCTGCCTCCCGAGTGCTGGGATTAAATGCGTGTGCCCAGCAAATAAATCTTTTTTAAAATACTCTGTATTGGAAAAAACTAATCCCCAATACAGAATATTTTATCACCTTTATTCCTAGTTTTGTGCATTAGATATTTGAACTTACCTATCCATTATATCTGCTGTTTTATAAATTCTGATTATGTCTGCTTTCTGTGTCTGTGTGTCCCTGTCTCTGTGTCTGTCTCTCTCTCTCTCTTTCTTTTTTTTGGAGACAGTGTTTCTTGGGTAGCCCTGGCTGTCTTGGAATTTGCTCTGGAAGGCAGCTGTGCTCATCACTATACCACCAACGCAGTGGAATTTGCTCTGTAGATCAGGCTGGCTTAAAATTCAGAGATCCACCTGCCTTTTCCTCCCTAATGCTGGGATTACAGGTGTTCGCCACCACTGCCAGGCTTATTTTTCTCTCTATATACTTGAATGTTTTTAGATGCCATACATACGTAAGTGAAATCATGTAACATTGTCTTTCTGTGTTTGGTTTATTTCAATGAATCTAATGTCCTCTAGGCACATCAATATTGTAATTAAGGCAAGATCTCATTTAAAAAAAACAACTGA